ATTTATGTATTATAAAAAAAATAATTATCAAAATCGTGTTATACTTAGAACAAGGAAATAAAATTAGGTAGATAATTAATCTCCTTTTTAGAATAATAAATTAACATTTGGTCGTCAGGGAAGTTTGTATGGTTTATTTGTTTGTTCGTTTGTTTCGGTCACAAATGTGTGATAATTTATCCATACCAAGAGGAATCATCAAACTTCAGAGATCAGACAAAAAGATTGTTAATTTTAAGATAAACTAATTAGATTACGTTTGGTGTTGATAGAACAATAATTGTAAAACTACAAGAGTGAGATAATTCAGGTTCAGTAGTTAGGTAAGAATTAATAGTCAGGTACGGTTTAATTTTAGTTCAGTTAGGACTACATAAACATATATTGTTTTTTCCCTCTTATACCGCATAGGTGGCAAACAAGTATACGGCCCATCTGATGGTAAACGGTTACCGTAGCCTATTGTTCATAGTCATAAATTATTATAGATGGTTGAAAGGGGGAAACAAAGTACAGCCTCGTTGGTCTAGTGGTTTAAAGACGTCGCCTCACTTTCAGTGGTCGCGGGTTCGATTCCTCGCAGGGCACAAGCATTTTTATTTATGTATAGTATGACTGTTTCCTATATAAGTTAGCTTTACAACATCGCCTCACTCTCAATGGTCGCGGGTTCGATTCCTCGCGCGCCACAAGCATTTTTATTCATGTGTCGTATGATTGTTTACTATATAGGATAATTAAAACAGAAATTTATATAAGTATTTGAAACTATTGTTTAGCACTCATAAACCAAGCTCTGCTTAACTTGGAACTAGATGGTGTGTGAGTGTCCAGAGTTATTATTATTATTAGTAAAAGGAATATGTAACCCGGGATGTGGAACAAAAGTTGTTCGTTGTTTAGTAAAGATTTCACCAAGAGGATCTGTGAAATTGGAGTATGGTGGTCTCCTTTCTGTCACAAATAGCTATTTGCATCCTTTCGGATCTTATTCTAGTAATATCAATAATGGCGTCTTTATAATGAAATAATTTACCACATATTATTTTCGATTAGTTATACCTCTTCTTTTAATGTTTCTAATTATTTCGTGTACATTTAAGGTAAACATTACAATAAAAAAAAAAAGGGAAAGATTTTTCGGTTGCTAATGTAATACATTAGCATTCGCGGTGTTGAGTTAGGATATTAGGGGCGATAATTTCTATAGGCAATTTAGTTAGATTAATCCAATAGGAACATTATTTAGACGAATTAGATAAATTAGCATTAAGGGTTTTTGATGATTCCTACAGCGGTTAAATTATTTCCGGTAGAAATAGTTCATATACAGAACATAATTATACCTTCTCTAATTACAATAATATCAAACACCTATTGTGATTTTCCCAAAGATTTTCTTCCCAAAACAAAATCTCCGCGAAACTCAAGGGGCGTCTGTAACGATCACATACTAGGTATGTTGATTGTTCCATAAAAATTGGATAAGTAAATCTAATATCTAATAGATAGAAATGACGTGATATTATAGGTATATAGTAAGTGCGTATTAGTAGAATTAAGATTTGTTCGTGGAACGGATACTTAAATAATTACTTCATAAAAACGGCTACAACTCTCAATCGTGTTTCTAATATTTTGTATTTCGTTCACATGCCACTTACGGATATTGTAGGGTCCTTATTTTCTAAGTATTGTTTATTTAGGTAACATAAATTAGTATACTTTATTAGACGTGGTGTCACTTAGGTAGAACTCAAGCTGAGAAGATGTCGAGTTAAAACAATAAATTAATAAGTTTATTAGACAGGGCACGACATGGGACAGTGCCTTGTTTAAGATTTGCTTTAAGGGTTGTTAGCAAAAAATAGTAAAAGTAAGAAGGACAAGGGGCGCGGGGAGGCAATGCGTGTGATGGTAGGATTTGAGACACAGAGAAATGGGGACAGTTGGTTTTGGAACGGATAGCGGGGTAGTCGATCTGAAATAGGCAGCGGGTGTCGGAACGAGTAGCGGAACAAGCGGGGTAGTCGATCTGTATTAAGGGTTAATTTCCGCGTTCCTTGAGAGACGGCAACGAATAATGAATCCGGGACGGTGCAACGGTGGCTGAACGAGAGACGTCGACGTCAAAATGTTATTGGTGAGATAGAATAGCTACCACATGACAGGTCGTATAAAACTTTAATTATTATTTAAGTTTATTGTAATTTTATTTTAGTCATAAGGTAGATAATTTGGGTACACTTTGGAGGGGAGCGTGGTGATGTTAATAATTGTATTATAAATATGGTAATATCTATGATACATAAGATTGGGTTCCATTCATGTATATAGGTGACAATGGCAAACGAGCTTCGGTAACGGTTGCTGTAACTGTGAGTAGATTTTAAGTGATGGACAAAACGTTAATTATTATAATATCCTCAGTGTAATCAACAAACTACTGAACTGATATTTAAGGAGGAGCGACTGAAATGATGATGATATTTTATTTATTCTGATATAAAACTACACTATTAAATATAATTTAATAGATTTTGTTATTGATTTACTAAATGTGCTCCTGTCCATATGATTAATATTCAATTATTAAGTACGGCTTAATAACTGATAAATATTTATAATATAATCATTCATTTATATTAAGGGAAATCTTCTCTAACCCCCCTAAGAGTTTTATATGATTACTTTAATAGTTTTGAAGGAAAATGGGAGCTTTCCTTTCTTATCTCGAATGCATGTTTGTACACATCCACAAGGTGGAAGTTGCAAATAAACTATTATATATTTTCAAACCGAAACACAGCAATCTCCAAAAGTATGTATTGTATGTTTGTACAGTTTTACAAGGTAAAATTTGCAATCATAAGAATAATGTTGAGCAGAAAGACAGTGCTTGCTTTAATTATTGTGATGAATGTTTGTACATTTCCACAAGGTGGAGATTGCAAATAATGAATAAGTAAATAGTATATTTTTCACAAGGTGGAAAATATATAAAAATGGAATATTTAAAAGAACCACGTCCTTAATATGGACACTTTGACTGAGCATATTGAAGATAATCACCGGAGTAATAATATTAATTATTAAGGGATAACATTGACTATCTCTTTATGGAACGAGTTGTGAATATATCCTTTCTGGGACTATCAATTTGAATTCTTAACTAATTGGGTTTTTAAGAATAATACAATCATACGAATGTGATACATATTACAAAACGAATTGTAGTTAAACTATAGAATTATTCAAATACTAGATCGCGTATTTTTGTTAACCTCATAATGATTCGAGCTTAGATAATTAAATATTTTGTGGTGTGAATATAATATCAGGTGAATATTCAAATATTATATATTTTATTTCTTCTATATAATCATAAATAAACATTACAACAATAACAAGATTGGTATGGACGTAAAGTAGTTGCTCGAATTTGATGTGGGAATAGCAAGTTCTCTGACCAGCATAGGGCGGTATGTCAGCGCCGATCGGGCCTTAGGGTACATGGTCACAGCCGTACTTAACTGTGGATGGCAGAAAGCCTGTTAACTAGGTTAAATATAATATTTTCGGATGTTCTCCATGGTTATGTTCACTTTTGACTCTCGATTTACATCTGTTATGACTTGATTCGTTCAGTGTCGTCGATTCTTGGGTGTAAGCTCTCCTAGGCCCGGCTGACTAGAACCCTACCTTGTTCTCGCAACTCGTGTTAGATCTAGGTCCAGGAGTGCCGAGAATGGATTGTCTTATGTCGGGTTTTAAGGGCTCTTAATGTGGTCAGGAAGTAGCAGATGTGGGTCCCCTGCGCGAACCTATTTTAAAGGTCTAACTTAACTGTATCACTATCGTATGCGCCCATTCTGATAGAACATATTTACAACTATAGTTCCAACTGGGTTAGTCTTCAATAATGAGACTAAGATATTTATCTTCTTTCTTTATCCAATTTTCATACTACGAGGGAACTACGAGTCGGTATCCAGGTATAAGTCGACACGCGCACGCGACGAAGGTGACCTCCGACAGCATCCAACGAATCTTACAGCTGGGTTCCTGATAGTTCTAATATTAAGAAGTTATGTATAACATTAATTTCAATCATAAGCATGTAAACATTGTAACAGAAACATTATTATAACAAAGAGCAAAATCCAAGTTTCTTGCCCGTATCTTCTTGGTCGTAGATAGGGTTCCGAACGGGTGGTAAAGCCATTTAATATTAATTTCATTTCAAACACATAACGAATCGAATAACGCTGCTCACGTAATAAAACCGAAAATAAATAACTTCATTTGCGGCTCCATCCTTGTTTTATTTCTTACTACTATTTCCTAGATAATAATCAAGTAGGCTTCATATTTTGCAGTAGGTTATTTCTTAGGTATTAATCGTAACAACGTAGAGTCCTAGACGATCACTTGGCCATCACAACGACATATATACGTAAGCATTAGATAGGGATAGTTAGGTCTGTGTTACGACCGTCTGTCGTCACTCAGTGTAGGTTATGTAGGGTTAGGGTTAGGGATGTTACAGAGGGTACAAAATTTCTGCTTCACGTATTAATATATAGATTATAATTTATTGTACGTATATACGCACGTATTAATATGTAGTACGGATCGTACTACAATTATTCCCCAATAAATTATAATTCTAAGCGTCAGTCCATTGTATTCCATTCATCCATTGCGTCCATTCCCTCATTAAAGGAGCAACTCATATTCTTTCAGTGGGATTAAATATAGATTTTAATCTATTGAATACGACGAACCCTAGTGTAACCATGTGGTTCCCCAGGAAACCTTGATAAATTCTTGGTGAATTTACCCTGATGGACTAACTGACCTGACCTCATACTCATCTTATCATCCTCCACTGGTGCCCGCCAGCGTAAACCGTTAGTGCAGGCAGGTGCACCACGCCATTATCATACGTAAGTGACCCCCAGTGTAGTTCATTGTTCCAACTTTAAAGAGCAACTTACATATTCTGCCAATCAGGGAGTACGTTCTGCGTCCACTCCTTGGCGTGCCTCGCCAGTCTCTCCTCGACCCTCAGCGACTCCTGGAGTCGCGCGTGCCTCGCGGCCGCTTCCCGTTCCACTCGACGTCTGGCCGCTTCCACCATCCGTGCATGCTCCGCCTTATGTCGAAGAGCTTCCTCCGTACACTTTGCTGGTAGGTTTGATGGTCTGTAATAGAATTAAATAAACTTGATTGAAGTACATTGTAATGATATTTTTTTATTCTATCGACACATTCAGAATAATTTAGATTCAGTCGAGAAGAATGGGGATATTTTATTATAACATTCCACTATTCCACATTCGAAATGCTGACTCAGCCGAGAATGTTCAAGAAACGCGGCTGCATGGTGGTTTATTCACGATATTGTGTGGATATAATTAGTGTCTCTTTAAATTATTAATGAACTCAAATAAAAGCGCCCTTATTGTCACTCTTTAATTGCTTTACTATATTTGTTACTAGCAGCTTAGGCAGCTAGTTTTTATATTCTTTTACATCTCTTCTAGTCCAGGGCAATGGTTTTCTACTAAAAAAAAACACAAAACGTGCTGGCATATTTTTTCAAAAAAGAACCCTCGACACACTTTCATAAACGATTATATATCTTAAGGGTCGGCATCGGGCACGTAACACCCCTGATGTTTCAGGCGTTCATACGCTACGGTAACCATTTACCATCAGATGGCCGGTATGCTTGTTTGCACCATAGTAGCATAAAAAAATACGATACTCTTACATCATTATTTTCTTCCAAACTATTTAAAATTTTGCAGATCTTGTTTTGTATTCTCTGTTCTTATATTCTAAATCCATCTTTAGAATAATCACCACGAGAACCAAGAGTTCAGGTTTTTACGCTAAAGCTATTTTTGCATTATAAACTACTTCGCAAAAAACGGTAGAATATTTAGTTAAAGCAATCCATATGACGTCTGTAACATTTAATGCTCTAAGCATCAGTCACGACTAAGTGTAAGAAAATTATTGTTAGTAACACAAAAGGTAATGAAAAATTATTTTCCTTGTTGTTAATATCCAAGAGACCTAAACTTATCACTTTACATTCGCGACTAGATAGTTATTCAACGCTGTTAAAAAATATAGATAATTACTAGCTCCCCCGAACGATTTTGCCATATAAATTAAAATCTCATTTAAAAGATAGGGCTTGGTGATAGAAGAGTGAAAATTTTGCATTGTATGTATTTTTTAAAACCACATTATAAAAAAAAAACAAATTCAAAATGTTGTACAATTTTTTTTTAAGTGTTACGGGAGGACTTATCTTTTACGGGTATGAAAAATAGGTAGTAGCCGATTCTCAGACCTACCGAATATGCATATCCAATTTTTAAAAAAATCGGTCACGTCATTTCGTCTGAGTACCATACCTACTCTGACATTGGTTAGTATGTTGTAGTTTTATTTTATTCATGTGTAGATAAAAGGAAAAAGATTTGGTATACGGAGAAAATGTATTCAGAAAGACTATTGTCAACAGAATGAAGTATCAAAGCAGGATGTAAAATTAAAGAACTATAAATTCAAATACAAATTTAGAATATAAAATACATATGTGAATAGCCAATTATAACTTGGTAACCAGCCGAAACACAATTGTTGTCACAATTGACATGAGAATTTTATGTATAAGATATCATATATCTATGTCTTGACCTTTTCAACTCAATTACATTTAACCGAGTACCAGTACCTATTGCAGTTCGTTAACCCCAACCGAAAACAATCAATATATCGATAAATCCGATTAAAAATGAAATCGATAATTCAACCGAAACCTTAGCCGATTTACGATCGCATGTTGACCAACATACACAAATTGGCCAATCAATATTCCATTATTGCGTGCAATTTGAACTATCGATTGTTTTGATACAACATTGATTTATAATACCCACAAAGAGTAGCGTGCGGGATGCACTTTGCAAACATGTACATAACGAGATCTAAACACTATGTTTATTCATTAAAAGGTATCAAACCGTAAAGTTATTATTCTTGATTATAAAACGCAACTCTTCAGCACATGTGTATGTGTTAATTTAATGTGATAACAAAACGCTTTACATTACCTTTCACCGGTTAAACAAATGGCTTTTTAACAGTGAATATAATTAAATAAGTAAATAAAGATGCACATAACGCTATCTAGTGCTTAAATAGATGATATTCAATTCTAGATGTAACCAGAAACTTCATTTAAATACGTTCATCTGTTTCGTCATGACAAGGTAACAGACATACAGAAAGACACATTATCGCATTTATAATATTAATAATATAGAAGTATGGTATATGTGTATAATATACAACCAAATTAGTAAATAATATTTATTGTTTACTTTAAAAAGAACAATGTAATTTTTGATCAGTGTCCCACTGAGTATGTAAAAAAATAATTAAAATAAAAATTTTAAGTTGCATGTACTTTGCACATGCCGAATCATAAATAAATAAAAAAAAAATGGGATGGACCACCCTTATCACTAAGGGTATTAAAAATATTTCACGACTTACTGAATATACAAACAAAATTTCATAAGAATACGTCAAGCAGTTTCGGAGGAGTTACATTACAAACCCAGTGACACAAGAATTATATATACATATAGTATACTATAATTATATATGATATTGAGCATCTTACGGTAGTGGCCCTTTTAAGTATGCAACCTTCAAGCTTCCATTATAATATGAACAGTACCACGAGTAGTACCCATAAAACAATGGAAGGCGACGAGATATTCACGGACAGTGAGTTCTTACCGAAATAGCTGCCATCTGTTAGTAGTAACCACCAAATGTTCAACATTCCAGTCAATTTACTGCCGCCTCACTATAAATAAGTAACGATCGACCATTACTCGAGTTATGTCATGTACACCTCGTGCGGTATAACATGGCGCCAGCTTTGAGAGGCAAGAAAAAAAATAAGAAATAAAGCTATGTACAAAAGTATGCTATCCGATAAACCAATTAATTATTTTAAAAAGCTAATGACTGTAGGTAATGACTTATTCGGCAATTTTCATTACAATTTTTAGAGTCAGCAAGTCTTGTTTAGAAAGAAATGTATTATGTCATCATGATCATCATCATCGTCATCATTTCAGTCAGTATATATACTGTTGGATATAGACCTTCCCTAATGTATTGTCTAGCGTACAATAACATTACAAATAATACAGTCATATATACCTATTTTAAACACATGTAGAAAATTATACACCAATTACCCAAAAATAAAAATTGTACGAAACTTTCAGATGTATTATTATATTACCCGCGACGGCTGCGGAATACAATCTATAATCACATCAGATTTTATTAAGATCAGTTCGGCCGATAAGTCGAGAAAAGGCGATAGACAGACCAACTACCAGAAACAATATCTCATTTGTAATATTACTTTATCATCATCATTATCATTATTGTCATCACCATTGCCTTGTGTTTACCCCATTATTTGGGGTCAACGCTGTACTTCCACACATTAATCTCTTCTTATGTATATCATTTATAATATTGATAACTATAAAAATTCTCAGGGAAACAATTCATTTACAATAGTGCCAAAATTTCCGCTGGCAGCCGCACCGTGTTACAGCGTTCGGACTATAATTAGCTTTAATGATATTGAAGATTAATGAATGGAGTAGGTGCGTTTCACTACGTTATTTGGGAAAGTCTGCCTTATATCCCCAATTAATTAGATCAATTATTCGCTGACTCAGGACTTCCAACTTAGTTCATAACTGTCTAAAACGAAGAAGGGTCGTAATTTGAGTGTAAGTTAAATATTCTTTAGAAAGAAGACCGTATATATATGGTAAGAAAAAGCATGAAAGTTGTGAGTGGCATCGAGTAGGGTCAACAAAAAAATGTGTTTATTTACATTGTATGTAAAATATATATGTATGTATTTATATAGGTATACTATGTAATGTGTGTTATTATTATTAATTTGTAATATTATTCATTATTATTATATATTTTTGCCGACTTCTACAGCTATTAATTTTTATTCTTGTAATTTATCTGGTGCAATAAAGCGTAAATAAATATAACACTAGCTCTTCGGTGATGAATAACATTGATAACAAACCAAATTAGTTCTAGAGAAAGCAGTATGCCTCGCCACTTGTCACGTTGTATTCAAATGTTCTCAGGACAAGGTGAGCATATTAAGTATTGCGTTAAACATAACATTTACAACCCTCAGACTATCCTATCTGGGATATAGTCGTGACGATATGTATCTATGTTTATTATACAATCCTGATAAAATAAAAGGAGTATTATCTCATTTTTATATATAACTAGATGTCCAGGCAAACGTTGTTTTGCCTTAAAATAAAAAAAAATCAGGGGTGGACTACCCCTAACATTTAGGGGGATGAAATTTAGATGTTGGCCGATTCTCAGACCTACTCAATACGCTCACAAAATTTCATGAGAATCGGTCAAGCCGTTTCGGAGGAGTATGGGAACGAAAACTGTGACACGAGAATTTTATATATAAGATAGTATCAACCAAGTCGCCGCCGCCATATATTGGCATATATCTTTTAAATGACGCAACGGATTTGAATACAGTTTTCAGCAATAGATAGACTGATTCAAGAGGAAGGTTTATATGTATAATACATGTGTGTTATAGTACAGAATGATCCGAGAAATTCAAAGATTTGTAATACATTCGTGCTTAAACGGGATGTGTCACCAGTAATATATTTTATTTAGTATTATAATAATATATTCTCTCTACACCTCGAGTTCCAAACTGACACCACGAATTCAATGTTTAGCAGTTCTAGAAATTTCCATTAACGTCTATTTATAGGTATATATATCTGTTTGCTTGAATATCACGTAAAGTAGATACAGATCAAACATGCTAATACAAACAGCACGCAACTACAACAATCATTGTAGCGATGATAAGAATATTATTATAGCTATCGACCTTTCAGGAATTTATATCAACAGAAACATGATCACGAGCGAGTATATTTGTGTACGAAGTCCACGCTATACTTTTATTGTCTGTGGTTTTAACATTGTATTCAGGTTTACGACGACGAATCCAATTATTAAACATGTAAAGAATTCAAAAAATTAAAAAAAAAGTGTAATAACTCAC